CTCATCTTTCTTTCCAATGGCTGTGGTCAAGGATGACTGCCGTAGTCCACTTTGCAAGTGTCAGAAGATGGTCTATGGCTAATTCTACCATCTTTCACAGATACACAATTAGCAGAGTTACAATTAAATAGATCTATTCTTTTTCTAGGGCTGGTTGTTATATTTACAGTTCAGTTAGCTCAAGTCTGTTTTTGCAGCTAAGCGAGATCTATATATTTTCCTGGCCACCACATTTGTTTAAAGTGAACCTGTCAGAGATCAATCTATAGCAGGGGTAGCCCGGCCCTCCAGCTGTGGTGAAACTACAAATCCCATGATGCATCCCTCTCCGGGAGTCATGTCTGTGGCTGTGATAATCTTGCAATGCCTCATGGGATTTGTAGTTTCATCACAGCTTTAGGGCCGGAGTTTGGCTACCCCTGATCTATAGTATCATACTTGGTAATCCTCAGTCAGTTTCTTTTGAGCTTGGAAAACCCCTGGCCCACACTATACAGAAGAGCTCAACTTCAGGCCTGACCAAGGCCCCGTCTTTGGTCATTTTCTGTCTTTTTTACGCACTTGTACAAGTAGTTTTGTGTGTTTTTACGCCTATTAGGTCCAACATATGTGACTTTGCCCGGAAAAAAAAACATATGTACTTTTTCAAGCAACGAGATTCAAGCGACATTATGCTTGGTGGTGAGCGCACACCAATGAATATAATCGAAATCCTTATTTATGCAATAATGTGACGTGCTGAAAAAACAATCAAATATAAACAGATAAAAATACAACAATGATAAAATATTTGTTGTTGTTGCATTTTTCATTGTTTATATTTGATTGTTTTTTCAGCTCGGCACATTATTGCATAAATATTTTGTATTATATCAGATATCATTTTAGTGCTTAGTAGCTCTTTTTCACCTTTTAATGTATCATCATTGGCGCAGATATTTTCTGATTATTTGATAATCTAAATCCTACTGTCAAGCACTAAAGCTCTTCTGGTGACGCTTCCAATCACTTAGATGTGAACAGGGCCTTAGCAGTAAGCATGCCCAACCCAGAACAAAGTCCTGGCCCCATTCAAAGGTTCAATATGAGAGTCTCTACTGACCACTCCAATTCCCTAAGGCTGGGTGCACACCTGGGAGTTTTTCAGCACTGATCGAATCGCTGAAAAACGCTCATGAAGTGAAATCCTATGAATCCCTATGGGCATGGTACCCACCAGGGCGTATTTCAGCACGATTTGTCGCGCTGAGAAATGCCCTACGCCCAAAAAAGTACTTGAGCATCTTTTTTGCGCGTAGGTACCAATTGCAGCGCCTATCCATTGTTATTCCCGAGTGTGGCTTGGACGCTGCCGTGTTCCATCCCTTGCGAGCGTCCGTGTCACAGTGGGGCGGAAGCGGCGTGAAGTTTAAAACGTTTTTGAAGAAAAAAAATCATACCTCCAGGGAGGTTAAAAAACGAGCGCGCGTTTCAGTGATTCAGTGTTTTGAAACGAGCATAAAACACTCGTATTTGGAACTCCCAGGTGTGAACCCAGCCTAAAGGGTGCCCTGGGAGGAGTAGGCTGGAGCTTGACTTTCTCGAAGTCTAGATATACATTATTGGGCATGTTGGGGGGTCATATGGTACTTCGGTGTATGTCTAAAAGTAAGAATGTACCAACACTAGTATTGGTGGCGATGCCGAGTATTTGGGCGAGTACGAGTACTCGCCAAAATGCTCCCATACTTACCCCCAAATAACAGAACTTTCAGTCAGAGGGAGATTTTCTTCTGACCGGCAGTGCAGCAAGGGAACACAGGGCCGGCTTCCCAACCACTCAGCAGCCAAACAGCATGGAGCCAGCTTCCCAGCCAATCAGGAAGCCGGGTTGCGAGTAACAACATACCACCAGGCTTCCTAATTGACCGGGAAGCTGGCTCCATTCTAGCGAAGTACCAGCATTGGTACTTGGTATTGGCTAGTCCCGAAAGAGAAATATCGGTACTCTTACTCGATACCGAAAAACCCAGTATCTGTGTATCCCCATTTAAAAAGTATAGGTGGACCCCTGGTGCTTCCCATGACTAAGTAACCATTATGATCTTTATCACTGTTAGTCTGCAATGGATGATGACTAAGGAAATATAATGGATTCAGCTGCACTGAAATACAACACATAAGAAAAGCATCTGACTTCAGACTGTATAATGAACGCAAATCATAGAGCTGACCAGAAAAACTTGTTTGGTTAGAGCAGGCACACAATCCCTAATCAAAACAAGGACATAAAGATTCCAGAACTGAGTTCAGTGTAAGGCCTGGTTCACACCCGAGCATTTTTCCACGCCGATCTAGTCACACAAAACACATATTTCCATGCAAGTCAATGATAACTGTTCACACCTTAGAGTTGTGTCGCGTGTATATATAGGTTTGGTATCTTTGATCCTGTGCTGCTCTACCAACTAGGGGACTGCCATACAAGCGGTACAATGAGAACGTACACTGCTTGTTTATTTAAAGGAGAACTATGAGATGAGTGATTTCCACTCACCTCATAGTTCTAGCCGACCTGTGACAATGAGACTGTCACAGGTCGGCTCAGTAGATCGGGAGGTGAGCGAACACATACCGGGTTCGCTCACCTCTCGATCCTGTCACAGCTCTCTGCCGTGACAGGGGGAGGGGCTGGATTCCCCTCTCTCCGCTCCGATCTGCCAGCGCTGACTGGCGGAACGGACAGGGGAGGGGGCGGGTACAGCTGGCTCTGCCTCTAGATAGGCAGAGCCAGCTGTCACTCACGCAGCTGGGCGGATCCCGACGTCCATGTCGGGATCCGCTCCGGCTGCGGCGTCTCAGTATACCGCGAGCTGTAGCTCGCGGTATACTGAGCTTAGGGTAACGGGAGGACGCTAGTTTGTGTCCTCCAGTTACCCTAAGGAGAACTATGGGGAAAAACACTGACCCCATAGTTCTCCTTTAAGCAAAATGAAGATAAACTAACAAGTGATAGTAAGATTTGTCATTCACAGGAATTACGTAATGTGATAAAAAAGACTCCATCAGGTCTCTAAAGTTATGTAACCATAAGCTCCCTGCAATAGAAACACTGCATATTAACCTCTACGGTGGCCCAGATCTCCTACCTCCCCTTCATTTCAGAGCTGTAACCTCTGGTAAGCATCTTCGAACACGTCCAAGAGTGCTGGATGCCTATGTCCCCCAAGGCGCATCATTTTTGTTTTCTCCAACCCCTACATCAGTGCTGAATCCTATAGTTATGTAGAGGTTTTAGGAAGGAAAGACCGGGGTCTCTTTACAAAACTTTGATGATGCGTCATGGTGGTGTCAAAAGAGGCTGGAGAAAAACAAAAAAAGGGAAAAGGGAAAAAGAAAAGCAGACAGATCCCCAGTGTTCTTGGTAACATATCTGACTGTAGTCATGTTTATGGTGGTCTTACGCAGCCAGAAGACTTTTACGCGAAGAACAAAAAGGAGCAAAGCTTACACTGCACACATGCTGCCTCCACTCACTGAGGAAGTAGCACAGCAGGTCCCAGTACTTCAATAATACTAGGAAAGATGGGAAGATGTCTCACTGTTTCGGCTAACCTTAAACGAGCCAAATACTCTAGCTCTGCAATTCCTTTACAATCTCATTTAGGGCCATTGACAACTTCCAAAAACAGTTGCCCCACTCCAAAACCCCTTAATCCTGAGGTGGACAAATATAGAATTCAGGAGCCAGTCCGCCCAATCCAGGAGCCATCAGAATTTATGTATGTATTAATCTATTGTAGAAGCCAGCCCCGTTGACAAGGGAAAACCTCAAAAGTTAGGCACCAGCTGGAATTTTAGTGAGCGCTGGCTACCTGGCTCCTCAGATTTGTCAAGCCTTAAGCTGCATTTACATGGGGGTAAATGCTGTTGCTGGGGAACCTACAGATTCTTGCAGCAGGAATCCTAGGTGTACTCGTTCAGATGCGGCCACTGTGGCTACTCAGGGTGACAGTGGCTGCACCTGTCAGCAGTAGTCTGCATGTAATAGTATCATTACCTGCGTTTCGGGAAAGATGATTGTCCCTGTGTGCGGACTACCGCTGACACATGTGGCCACTGTCAGTCTGTCATTAACTTGAATGGGTACAATGGCCGCATCTGAAAGAGTACACCTGGACCTGGGATTCCTGCTGATGGAATCTGTAGGATCTTTTCACAGGAATCCCCAGCTGCAGCATTAAGCTGCATGCTGACCAATCCAGAGAGGCTTCTTGTTCTTTAAGGCCATGTCACATTAGCTATAAGTTAGCAAGTTACCTTCAGCCTCAAGATCACGCAACAGGGCACTCACCTGCTCCTACAATATTGCTCCATCCCTGGTGAGAACACTAAAGAATCTTGTTTACCAACTAGGGAACAGCAATGAAGCGACACCCCCACTAATGCCACCAGCAATAGGATCATTAGCTTTACAAAAACTACATAACATGCAGACCTTCCTAAACATGTCTCCTATTGTGTATCCAATCAGCTAAGCACATTGGACTTCACTTTTCAGATCAAAGGATGGCAGGCTGCTGACAGGGCCACCCATGGAGCGAATTTCTCAACTAACTTGGCAAAATTTGCTCCATGTATGGCCAACCTAAAGCTGATTGAATAAAAGACTTCAGTATAGCGCAACCAGAATCTCTGCCAGATGATGAACATAAGTCCAGAAGATGGCCACACATGTTACAATCAGATGGCACAATCTCCTTCAGATCTGCCAAACAATAGAGTAGAAGCCCTACCTAAACGTCTGCACAGTTTGCAATGGTCTCCACCACACTTACAACAAATAAAAGGGATCAGCCCCAAGTTACTTTTTATCCACAAACTGCTCCCTTTTTTAGAGGACACTGACAATTTTAATCACCAGCTTATGAATATCCTAAAAAAGCAAAAGGGCAGAAGACCCAATTGATGGATCAGGGCAGAAGACCCAATTGATGGATCAGGGCAGCGACAGTGCTCACCTGTAGCTCCATGTCTGTCGGGCACACAGCAGGCGGTGACACACAGACACTGACAAGGAACTGAGATGTCCCTCTTCCTATCTCCTCCTCTGATTTAAAGCACTGCCGCTCATTGCTGTTCTGTCGATCCCTCCTGTCCCGTGTGCCCGTCACCCCTCCTCCAGCAGCCGGCCGGAAATGGCGTGTGGAGCGATCTGTGACCGCAGTCACCTCCTCCCCTTGTCTGCCTTCTTTTCACACTTCTTCCCGGGGAGATCGACGCCAACGTCGTTACCTGGCAACGGCGCAATCCCGGCCTGGGCAGGCTGTGTCGGCTTAGTGGAGGCAGCGCCATCTAGTGCACTAAAGAGGAAAGAGCAGGCGAGGTGAGAAGCGTTACACCTTCTAGGGTTACATAACATGAGGCTGTGTACAGCAACCAAAATCCAACTCAACCCTCCCTTTATATCAGCTGATAACATCAAAACAAAAGCTCTTTTATATCCTACAGTTCATTGTCTATCTAAAGTATCCATAACCTGAGTAGAAGATCCTGTCTCCTACCAGAAGCTGCAGACTGAGACCTTCACTCCCTGCTAGAAAGCTGGGGCCTCTCTGCAGAGGTCTGCCATGCCCTTTACTAATCAGACCTATAGATTTTCGATCAACAAAGTCCATGTTCCCAGCTGATTGGAGAGCCCTAGCTTTGAGTCAGCAGGAGGCTTGTCAGACCTTTGCAGAGAGACCACTGCTTCCACACAGAAGGCAAGGACCCCACTATGCTAGGAAACAAACTGTAAGATATTGGACATCTGTGTGTACAGATCCATTTAGAATGTATTTAGCTGATTTACACTTCAAATGGCTTTAATATTCCTGTAATGGCTAACTAGACCTGACATGTGAGGCTGCATCTTACTAGGCATGTGACCAAGTTCACCCAATGCTGTGCAAAACTGTCACACCCCCCTCCCGGCCCAATCAGCTGTGCCCGGGGATATCCCCACCACGCAGCTACACTTAACAACTCGTGGGGAATGCCCCATCCTCAGCTGATTGGTCTGGGAGGGAGGGGTGACACTGTCAGTTGTGCACAGGCAGTGGCGTATCTAGGGCAGGGCACATATGGCACATGCCCTGGGAAACAAATGAAGGGGGGGGGGGTGCTGCTCTGTGGGTGAGCAAACTTTTGCCAACCCATGGAGACAGCTGACTTTTTTCGCTCTAGCAGGCATCCCGCTGAGCTCCTGGCAACCATTGAGGTCACAGGTTGCCAGGAGCTGGGTGGGACACCATAAGCACATTTTATAGTAGACATGGCTCTGTGCGCAGGTTTGGGTGATCTCAGATTGCACCTAGCTCATGCACATTCCTATCAGGGGAATAATGAAACAAGGGAGCTGACTCTCATTTCTGCAGGCTAGGCCTCACAATCAAACATTTTGAAGGGTGCTGATTGGTTGCCAGGGGCAACAAAACAACACCCTGCTAGTGAAGTCTTCATTTAGGGCTCCAGGGAGTCACTCTGAAGGGAATTTATCAAAACTGGAGTAGACAAAATCTGGAGCAGCTGTGCATGGCAGCCAATCAGCTTCTCTCTTTTTATTTTAAAATCTTAACTGAAGAAACAGAAGACAGAAGCTGATTGGCTACCATGCACAGCTGCTCCAGATTTTCTCTGCTCCAGTTCTGATAAATTCCCCTCTTTGTATTTTACCGCTCTCACCCTATTCCCCTGCATGGTGTACAAATCTCCATTGTTTCCACTCATACACCAGAGAACGGACCGGCCATCTTCACTGCATAGTTGCCAGTGGTCCTGTATTTTGCAAAGAAAGCCCAAGGGCCCATTCGCACCTGAGTGTTTTACCAAGCGATTCCCGAAGCGCTACAATGCTCAGGATGAAGAATCCCATTATTCCCAATAGGCCCGTTCACACCTGAGTATTGTGCCACTTGTCACGTGAAGCTCGAAATACGACATGAGCTTCTTTTGGAGCAGACTCATTTGTTTTGGACCCCATAGACTTTAATGTGAGTCCCTGTAAAATACACGTTTTTTTCAGGTTCTGCCATTTATAAGTCTAGGAGGCCAAAAACGCACAGTTCTGCTCTTGTACTACAAGTCACACGTAAAACCGTGTGTACAACCACACCAAAACACTGCTTAATCGCATGGCACATGCTTAGGTGTGAATGGGGCCTACTATGGCGATATGTGGAAAATGCAGTAAAAGGCTGACAACCTTTACATATGGACATTGCACACTACTACTTATTTTGATATATACACCAGATATAAGTCTCTGTTTCTGTTCTTCCTATCTAAACATGGCACAGTACCACTTCACATCTGCGTCTAAACCATGCCTCCTAATCAGTTTAGCCCCAGTGTGTTCCTTGTCACCCTATAAACCAGGGGTAAGCAACTCTGGCACTCCAGCTGTGCTTTACCTACAAATCCCAGCATGCTTCTGCCTCTTGGAGACATGCCTGTAACTGTCTATCTTGCAATGCCTCATGGGACTTGTAGTTACTCTACAGCTTGAGGGCCAGAGTTGCCCACCCCTGCTATAAACTGTCCTCCCATCTATGCAGCTAGTGCCATGTCACACCGGAGGGTCTTCTGCTGGTGGTGACACCTTGCCAATGGACCGCTCTACCATGCTGAAATAAACATTGCAGAACTTGGCTTTCCAGCAGGTACAGTGGCTAGTTTGGCCAGCGTGGCAGTTATATCATAACAGAAGGTAAACAGTCTCTTAGTAACCCTGTCACTGATGAGCTGTCAGTAGCAGCAGGTCTACTAATGTGACATGTCCCAATGGAGGCTGTGACGGTGCACACATGCTGCTTGAGACTTGAACCAATCCAAAATCTGACCCCACAGAATCCATTACACACACAGCTACCTATCTCCTCCTCTGGAGGTGGCTGCACAAAAGAGTCATTTTTTTAGTGATCTCCCTTATTATTTTACTGTTAACACCAAGGTGAGCGAACGTTATTCCTTGTTCAGAGAGTTCTTCAAGGCACAGTACCCACATTTTTTTTATAATAAGAGCAAAGTGCTAAGTGCAGCAACTAACGCAGCCAATCAGAATAATATTTTACTGAAGTCAAACCAGTAAAAGGTTGACTCTGATCATACAGATGTGCCTAGATGAATGTCACAAACATTTTTCATGTGTCATCTATCCATAGCAGGCCACCTATGTCCTAGTCCCTACACAGCTCCTCCGTAGCAGAGACTGGCTTCCATTGGGAAGCTAGCAAAAGGGAAATGTCAGATGACCTTCAATTCAAATATTGGAGTTCCATTCCCTCTAAATCAGCACCTCTCTTCTGGGGTTCACCAACACCAGCCTCAGTGATCAGGGCTCCATAGTTTATGTAGCATATCGGTCAGGCCTCACTAGTGTATACATTGCAAAAGTCAGACCTTTGTAATGTATACAGCCCAGTGGTGTGGCCTCCATAGTGTATACAGCCCAGCAGTTAGGCCTTTGTAGTGTATTGTATTCAGAGGCCAGGCTTCAGTAGTGTATAGCACTCAGCAGTTAAGCCTCTGTTGTGTAAACAGTCCATTGGTCAGACCTCTGTATTGTTTCGAGTTCAGCGGTTAGGCATCTGTAGTGTATAGCATTCAGGGCTATGTAACGCCCTGTATGTTCTCTTGCTGTTCAGTGTACCCTCCTTACTGCTCAGTGGGCCCCCTTTGTGTTTAGTGCGCCCACTTGCTGCTCTATATATTATCTTGCTGTCCAGTGTACCCTCCTTACTGCTCAGTGTGCCCCCTTTGAGTTTAGTGCGCCCACTTGCTGCCCTATATGTTCTTTTGCTGTTCATTGTGCCGCCTTACTGCTCAGTGTGCCCTACAGGGCTATGTAACGCCCTGTATGTTCTCTTGCTGTTCAGTGTACCCTCCTTACTGCTCAGTGGGCCCCCTTTGTGTTTAGTGCGCCCACTTGCTGCTCTATATATTATCTTGCTGTCCAGTGTACCCTCCTTACTGCTCAGTGTGCCCCCTTTGAGTTTAGTGCGCCCACTTGCTGCCCTATATGTTCTTTTGCTGTTCAGTGTGCCCCCTTACTGCTCAGTGTGCCCTCTTTGTGTTTAGTGTGCCCCCCTGCTGCTGTATATGTTATCTTGCTTTCCAGTGTACCCTCCTTACTGCTCAGTGGGCCCGCTTTGTGTTTAGTGTGCCCCCTTGCTGCTCTATATGTTATCTTGCTGTCCAGTGTACCCTCCTTACTGCTCAGTGTGCCCTCTTTGTGTTTAGTGTGCCCCCTTGCTGCTCCATATGTTATCTTGCTGTTCAGTGTACCCTCCTTACTGCTCAGTGGGCCCTCTTTGTGTTTAGTGTGCCCCCTGGCTGCCCTGTATATTCTCTTGGTGTTCCGTGTACCCTCCTCACTGCTCAGTGTGTCCCCTTTGTGTTTAGTGCGCCCCCTTGCTGCCCTGTATGTTCTCTTGCTGTTACGTGTACCCTCATTACTGTTCAGTGTGCCCCCTTTGTGTTTAGTGCGTCCCCTTGCTGCTCTATATGTTCTCTTGCTGTTCAGTGTACCCCCTTACTGCTCAGTGTACCCCCCTTACTGCTCAGTGTGCCCCCTTTGTGTTTAGCGTGTCCCCTTGCTGCTCTGTATGTTCTCTTGCTGTTCAGTGTACCCTCCTTACTGCTCAGTGTGCCCCCTTTTGTTTGTGGTCACCTGGACAAGTCCCACACAGCTTCCTACTAGGTCAATGGAGAATGCAACCAATAGAAATATATGTGTATTTTTGTGATATACAGATGCACGTTGAACATTAGAATGTCACGTTGTGGGTATCACTTTAATAGATCAATGCAGAACAGAACGTGAAGCTATGACTAGTCCCAGAGCATAGAACTATCACTTCATTTGATCATATTTATACCATTTTAATTAAGAAGTACCCCGCTGTGATGGGAGATGTGGGAGTCTCATACAGTAGGCCTTTGATGTGATCCACATTGCTTTGATATTTTGCACTGTTAATATAAAATAAAAAACATTTCTTTTATCCCGAACATACATATGTGGGCGAGTTCATTATGCACACAAATTCTCCCAGCAAGACGAAAAACACATGCATTTACTACATACTGATTAACAAGTGATAAGGACCTGAAAGTACTTATGGGCTTAGTCAAAGGAAACCTCTACTGAGAGAAGCATAGGCTACCATTGTTGTTCCTTCTGAAAATGGTGGTTGCCTGGCTGTCTCTGGCATCAAGAATTTTTCAGTCACTGACCCAGAAAAAAGATTCAGCAAGATGGGTTACAGCTTGCTCACACAACATGCCATGGACTGAGTTGTGATGCTCTGCAGTGCATCACAGTGTTGTGGAATGCATGCTGAATAAAAGAAAAGTAATGTGTCTCAAAAAAATAAAAAGCAGAAAAACAAACTACGCTGCAAAGCATGTAAACATGCGTAGGCATGCACGCACAAATGCAACCCACACCTTCAGCACATGTCAACGCACATGCACTGATGCATGCATTGCAGTGGCAACCTACACTAAGAGTGCATTTAGTCGCAAATTCTGCATGAATGCTCTGGACTAGGGATGTGCATTGACCTGGTACACACTAAGTTTTCCCAAGTCCGTGCAAAACTGTCAGTGACACACTCCCCTCCCAACACTATCAGTTGCAGCCAAGGCACTCCCTTTGTTACATGTAGCTGTGGGGCAGGGAATGCCCTGGATTCAGCGGATTGGCCCCGGGGAATGTCACTGACAGTTTTGCATGGGTTTGGGCAGGCCTAAGTACATCCCTATTCTGGACCGGGTTTGGACCTTAGGTGTGCCACACATGCCCCAAAAAAGCTTTATCTAAACACTTTGGATGTATGTGCTACTTATTTCCTGTGCTCCCTGACTCCTTCTAGTGGCCATAATACAGTATTACATCACAATACATTTGACCTGGAAAAAAAAAATATGTTCATTGTTGTCATTATTCACACAATAACATACAGCATAGCAAAGGGCCCTGCAAATTATTTATAAATAGATTCCTTTGTGTCAAGTCTGACTGGGCCGAGAATAGTAGTCTTTAGTATTTACCCCCATTACATTGGTGGTCTGTGTAAATACCCAGTTACATTGGTGGCAAGTGTAAACCCCCTATTGTGTTTGTGGTCAGTGTAAATACCCTCTTAGGTTGGTGGTCAGTGTAAATACCCAGTTACATTGGTGGTCAGTGTACATCCCCTCTTATAGTGATGATCAGTGCATATACCCGGTTACATTGGTGGTCAGCGTAAATCACCTCTTAGGTTGGTGGTCAGTGTAAATACCCAGTTACATTGGTGGTCAGTGTAAACCCCCTCTTGTGTTTGTGGTCAGTGTAAATACCCAGTTACATTGGTGGTCAGTGTACATCCCCTCTTATAGTGATGATCAGTGCATATACCCGGTTACATTGGTGGTCAGCATAAATCACCTCTTAGGTTGGTGGTCAGTGTAAATACCCGGTTACATTGGTGGTCAGCATAAATCCCCTCTTACAATGATGATCAGTGTATATACCCGGTTACATTAGTGGTAAGCATAAATCTCCTTTTACATTGGAGGTCAGTGTAAAATTACTAAATAAGCATACATAGTACATACACCTACCTTCATATTGCATTCACCTACATTCCTTAGCTACCTTTCAGGGCACCCTAGAATAAATGAAACCCTGCATAGAAAGACGTTCAGTTAGAATTGACACCCCATTCCGCCATACCTTCCAACTTTCTGATATAAGAAAGCAAGACGCCTTTTAGCACAAGGTATGTAAGCTAAGGATATGCCCATGCCATGCCCCCAGTTATGCAGACGGTAAAGAATAAAAATGCATAAAATTATTGGATAAATCCAAAAGTGTTTTTTTTACCAATACCTTTCTTGCATACTGCCTTTCCCTAAATAACCTTACGGTAACGCAGGGTAATGCATTGTATACGTGTGTTGCCATTCATTTGCACCCCAATGCACATCTACAGTGTGCTGCAAGACACCTACAGTATAGTGCACAACAATGCACAGATGGAATTGCTCTGCGTTTAGAAAAGAATATGCAGGATCTATTTTTTTTTCTTTGGGGTGTGTTGATGGCCCATAAAAATGAATGAGGTTGGCTAACACATTGAGTTTCAAAGCACAAAAACACATGCATCGCTGCAAACTACATTGTGAATGGGCCCTCAAGATCTACATTCAGGACTCCCAGTAGGGTTGCCACCCGAACACTCTAGCGACACATAGGGGAGAATGAGTTGCGGCTTATTCATATGTAAATAGCGCCACCTATTCATATGTCAATATCACAGTCAAGACTATTTTCAGTGGGGGGGGCAGTAGCCCCTATATTAATTTTGGTTGCCCCTATCTGCCTGACATCATGTGTCTGGGTCTCAGCTGCCATGAAACCCAGACACAGCATTCAAAACCCGGACTGTCCGGGTGAATCCTGTACAGGTGGCAACCCTAACTCCCAGACAAGAACTGCAGCGTGCTTAGTGTTCATCACTTTCTAAACAATTTCTGTTTTTTTGCTGAATGTGATATTGTTCTGCCATCATTTCCAACTTGAGAGAAAACCCATTCTAAGTAGATGAATAGCTGTTCCAGCACTTACAAGGTTAACTGCTTGCAAAGCTTCATCATACTCAGATGGTGTCACTTAGGCCATAGTATAAGTGGGCAGGTAGAGAGCGCTTTGGCCTTCAATTAATGTGGTGTCTGATTTCCAGCAGTAAGGTTGGTATGTATAATGTGGTCCCCTTTCTAGTGACTGAGAATCTGTTTTATTAGCAGTATTAGGTACTCTAGGTTGCCTATCATCTCCCATTTGGGGAACAGACGGAGATCTCCTTGTCTTACAGTTGTGGTACACCTAAGTAAACTCCTGATTCTTATTGTGATAAGAGATTATTAACGTGAATGAATAATACATAATTAATGCTAGCATACCTACTCTTTTAGTAGGATGTGGCTGTGTAAAATTTCCTTAGAGGGTGGTGTTGTTGTATTAGAAAAATCAGAAATGCTCTTTATCAGGGGTGCCCATTAGGTAGATCGTGGTCTACAATAGCTCTCAAAGCTGATGCTGGTAGATCACGAAGGGTGTGAATGGAGGCCCCTTTATTCCATTTTGGTATATTTATTTTGCTGCGCACACGATTACTTATTAGCCTGAGCCAAGCTCCCTGACACCTTCTGGTGGATACTGGTGGTTGTAGTGCTATATTACATCAGAGAATGTTAGTTTACACAGCCTGTTGCACGAGAGAGAGAGGAATTTACCAAAACTGGAGCAGATTTGCACTGCAACCAATCAGCTTCTCTGTCTCATTTTTAAATGTTACCTGAGAAAACTGGAGATATGCTGATTGGTTGTACATCAGATTCTGTCTGCTATAGTTTTGACCCCCCCCAAAAAAAATATATGTATATATATCCTATCTACCTATCGTATGCATGCATACACCATAAGAGGGATAGGTCTTTCTAATGCATGTGCCTTACGTTGTTTAAAAGCCTCCATTCAAGTTAATTTTAAAGTCAAAATGCAGCCCATACATCCAACATACAGCACACTTGGCTTCAAACCCACTGCGGTGCTTTTGGTGTGAACAAGGCCTGTTGAAGACTATGGATTTTCTCATGCCTATACATTCTGCCCCCACTAGGAACTGGACCAACATACACGGCAAGCCATCCAACGTGAATCCTCGCTAAATGTTCACCTATTTGGATGCCTTGTACTGGCTTTAATCCTTCCAGACACTGTACTTCAGCTTTTTATATTTTGGAGGATCCATCAAAAGAAAAATATCCACAATGTTCCTTGGATTCCTCCTAGTTACAGGTATGGCTTTAAAGCTTTTTTTGTTTATTTTTTACTTTAAAAATATCCCAATGGCTGGAGTCAATAGAGATCGTTATTAGTGCTGCTGGCAGCAATGAATGTGAGTGTGGACTTCAGCTTGTGAAACAAGCTTTCACAAAACTCTTGCTTGACTTTTAATTTCCCCACCTTAACCCTTTAAAGCACTCTTCAGCTCCAGTTTTGGGATATTTAATTTAGATTGCAATGGGGATGGTACATGTCATTTTTATGAATCCTTTATAAAGCTATACTGTAGATACTTGGTATAAAATGTTTTATTGCTAAGTGGACCCCTATCTAAAAGTTACTTTTAGTGCACTATGCAGGCCTCTCATGCTGACTTAACAATGCTGTTGGCTTGGCTGTTTTAATGCTTTTTAAGTCACTGGCGCGGAGCAATCAAGCAGCAAGTGAAGTTTGAGCCAAATCCAAACTCTCTGCTAGCTTGTTCTGTTCAGTGCCTGAAAGGGGCCTGTTTATAGCAGATCCACTCTCCTACATAGCACCGTAATCCTTCCGCTCTGTGCATGCATTTTACAACTCATTGATGAAATGCACACCGTGGTATTCCAGAAGAGTTCCTTCTCCATAATGCTACAGAGAAACCACCATAAATTGGGGGAAGAGGCTGCCCATATGACAGGTCACGTGACCAGGCTCTCCTCTCCTTCACCACTTATTCTAAATGACGTTTGGAAAGCACAACACTGCTTTTAAAAATGTTTTGGAGCCCAAAGCATTAAAGGCTGATGGTCAGTGTGACAGCCAGGTAGCTAGCATTTTCAGAAGTCGGCAGTGGCGGACTACTCTCTTTTGTTAGGGGCGTGCTCACATCTTGGCCGCATTGCTGCAGGTGAGACTTGTTGTTGAATCTCAATTCGGATACAATAAAGCTTGTTGATTTAAAATGGACCTGAACTCAGTAAAGCATTGCTATGGTATAGGGAACATTTACAAATGTGCCAAAGTAGTAATGTGAAAATGTACTTTTGTCTGCAATTCCTCCTGAAAAATAGCAATGCCCTTCTGGTATGTGAGGGTGCCTAGGCACGTCCGTGTCTACAGCCTCATAGCTGTAATATCTGCAGCGTGTGATTTAAGGCACTGCTGCCTCTGCTAGTCATGTTTTCTGTAATAGAAGTCCGATTTACTGCTGCTTCCATATAGTCTTGCTGTTTCACTACTCCATTATGAATGCATATGGTTGGACTTGGTGATGTTTTTGTCTTCCAATAAGGTATTTCAGTCAGTTTGGCTCACAACTCCAGCACTGAAGCAGGGAACTGTAAGTAGATCAGAACCTTTTTTTTTTTTTCATACAAGTTGGGAGCACTAAATGTTTTAAATTTTCACCCTATTGGCTTCTGCACAAAAGAACACCGCTACACTTTAAAGCCCATCTCCAGTTTAAAAAAAAACTCTCCTTACAGTGGGGCTACCCCTGCAATGGTTAAGTGCCTCTTTTTGTCCAGTGGATTCAGAATGCTGTAAAGCCTTATCCCTGTCCCCGCTGGCTCCAAGACAGCGCCCACGGCCTCTTCCCCCCGCTCTAGTGGTTGGAGGCCCTCTGACATCAGCATGTCTAATGTAGGCCCATATCCCTTCATTACACATGAGGGTGCCAAGGAACAGTCCACAAGCAGAGGTGATGAGGAGAGGAGTGGGGATCAGGTAAGAAAGTGCTTTACAGCATCCCCCTAGACCAGTGACGTGCGGTACCTCTTGCTCCGGGTAAGGCATGTTGAAGCCCTGCTTATTACTATGATACGATGATACGATTTACACAGCTCTGCCCCATAGTACATTGCTGTCTGTCAGGGCAGGAGGCCTGATCTCTCTGCTGCAGTTAAAGTAATACTTACAGGTCTTGTCCCTCCCAGCCTGTGAGGGACAGTGAAGGAGACTGAGAAGTTCATCTTTCTGTTCTCCTCATCAGCATATCTTTGTTAGCACATGAGCACTTCCGCACACCTTACTGGCTTCCAGTTTTGCACTTCCACTCCCAGTCTAAACTATGCTGTACAGTCATTGAAAGAGGCTGATACCAAGTAATTTGCAGCTACTTGCACCTTAAGGATTTACAAAAATCTGTTTGACGCTGTGTTATTGAATAGAGTGTTCCATTGATTTACGTATTTATATATGGCGTTCATCATATGAAAATGTACATTCATGATCTCATCAGTTTTATTGTACAGCACAGCCACATTGCAAGCTTCTAGTATAAAAAATGGCAACTGTTAGACTACCCATCTGTTCAATGTTACTTGGGTCAGATATTAACATATATTCTACTTTCACAGCCTCCTACTTTACTGAGACAGCAACAAGAACATTATTCGCTCAATGTCCAGACACATACTCCAGCTTCTGCTACCATGGCACATGCAGATTCCTTCTATCTGAATTGGAGGCCTCTTGTGTGTAAGTGTATCACAGTGGATGTGTCCAGGAGACCTTCACATTTGTTCTGGAGGATAACGTTTTGAATTTTGGAGTTGGAAAGCAATCCTGCTTGCTACAGTGCTGCTTCTGTGTTTATACAAACTTGCCTTGACAAATGATGCAGTTCAGTCCAGACGTAGATCCGACTTTCATACTTTTGATGGTAACCTGCAGTTGCAGGAAAGTGATATGGCTTTCAGTGCTAGGTGACTAAAATTGCAAGTTCAAAGTGCAATATCCCAATGAAACCGTTTTAATCAGATCAGTGATTGTTCTGTATGCCCCACTGTCTGCATTTCCATAGGCCTGAGTGGGATTCAACGAAGGACACAAGAATGAATGCACAATCTCTACATAATGTGTGCAGTTGAGACCTTGATTGATAAACAGATTTAACAGATCATTAACAGATCATTATTCTACTTACTGGAAACCTCCCATATTTTACAGTTTTCTTTAAAGCTAACCACTAAATAAAAATGCAAATTTAGCTGTTTGTTGGCATAAGCCAGGGATGTCCAAACTGCGACCCTCCAGCTGTGGTGGAACTACGAATCCCATGAAGCACAAGTTTGGACATCCCTGGCATAAGCTATCATGTCATGCCTATTTCAGTGATGTGCCTATACACTTTCCCCCAAAATTGCTTCTTGTAGTGGAGAAAATGGGATATTTAATTTCACAATGATGTGCCCAGGGATTCAGAGACGTATAAGGTGGTAGGCAGGTCAGGCTTTCCTTTGCATGTGCAAATGGCAATTGCATGGCAGGCTTTTTCAACCCTGACGTTTCACTCAAATACTGGACCTTTCCAAAGGGGCAAAGGTCCCAAAATCAAGGCTAACCTGCTCCCTCCTGCATATGTATCCCTGCTGGCCCATGGCGAATGGGCTACCTTGCTATAGGAATGTGTGAATGTCGGCTTTGCCTTTCAGTACATCCTGGCATTTGTATGTAGCAACAGGTCTTGGAGGATGCTGCAAGTAAGGTACCTAGAGATGCAGTGTACATGACGGTAGTAATTTCTTTTCCCCCTTTGTTTCTCCTCAAAGTATTTTTGATGTGACTTTTAAACTTTAAACCACGTGCATTTATACTTCTTCCTTCCCTCAGCTCCCCTGCCACTGCAGTCTTAAATTTACCTGCTGCACACTGAAATTTTGCTGGGGCTGTGCATGTGCTGTGCATTCTCCATTCAGTGCTATAGGGAACTTGTACTAGATCATAAGTGTTTGAACATTGATATTTAATTGTTTCCTTTTTACGGTCATCTTAATAAAAAAAAAATCTCTTCGAATTGATACATATGTGTATTGTCAATGCAGTTTTTATAGTTTGTAACTACAGAGTACTAGTTTACCGTTGATTCTCATTGCTTTTTCATTTTTTCCCCCTAGATGCTTTAAAGGCTATATTGGTATTCGCTGTGAACATGTGGACCTGTTGCAGGTGATGGCTGCTGCTCCTCCTTCCTTCCTGGTGGTGGCACTGTCGGTGACCTTTCTGGCTATATTAACTCTAATAGGTAGCACATGCCTTGTGATATAGTAAGTGTTAACTTGACAAGTACTTTATTTTTGTTTCCACTTACTATTTGCTAGAGCTATGTTTATGACCATTTTCCATTTATTACCCTAAATTAGGGTGACTTGGGTTGCTTGTACAGTTTACCAATAATCTAACCACCTATACAGCTAGTGTTCTTCAGGGATGAGCAATTTTGAGTTTTCATTTCCTCAATTTCAATGGCAATCAGATTTTGGCAAAATTACCACCATTGTGGTAAATTGCATTGTAGTCAATGGGCAAAGTGAAGTCAAGGTAGCTTTTAAGGGCAACGGTCTTTAAATTGCTGATGAGGGTTACACAAGCTCACTTAAACATCAAAAATCGGGTCCCACATTAGTGGAATTATATTAAAGCCCAACTATGGGTGCAATATACATACTGCAGTTCTGTAAGCTGTGCAGTGCCTTTGCTGTAAGCTGACCTGCCAAAATTAGATCTTCGTCCTTCTACCCTCAAATCTTCTGTATACCTGTGGGCGAGTCCAGATCCTGCTGAACTTTCATGCCTGCTTTGCCTGCATGTCTCAGACCTCGGCACTAAGGTTGCATCCCTGTCCTCCTGACCTATCGCAAAACGGAGCCTAAGGCCATTTTCTGTATGATTTGGCCAGGAGGAGAAGGGGGCAAGTAAGCAACCTCAGCACTGAGGTCTGAGACCTGCAGACATGGAAGTTCAGCGGGAGCTGGACTTCCACCCTCAGGTATACTGATGATTTTAGGGGAAAGGATTTTTTTTTGTTTCAATAAAGTTTTTGCCTAAGTAGTTCAATGAATGAAAATTAAAATGTTCTGCTTTAGTGTAATTTTGCAACTAAATAGTCAAAATTGCTCTACTCATCTCTTGTGCCCTTATGAAATAGCTTAACCCAAGCTTTGTGCACCAGTGCAGCTCTGAAAATAAACATTAGGCCTGCTGTATAAAGCAAGGTAGTGCAGCCTTGTGTGTAGATGCCAAACTAGTCAATGCTGGTGGAGTACTAATCTGTGGTTCCACTGTCAAAACCTAGATAGGGCAGGTATGCAGTTGAAGACCAGACTCTATCTGCATGTAAACGGGTAGTAACTGGTCAGTGGTTCAAATTTATTGAAGGGAGATGATCCACAGGCAACTAGCACTTCTGGAAGGTCAAAAGAAGAACCTATAGTAATAACCAAAGGTTTCATCAAAGTTGCAGTTTAAGCTGAACATTTTAAAACCAACAATTTGGTCTTAAAAAGGCCAGGCTCTCTGGCAGATCTTAAACTTGCCAGTCTAGGTGTTATTTGCACTAGTTATACTGCTTTAGGTAGTTTTTCAACTGCTACCTTGGGTCTATTCCTCTGTCTACACCACCCACTCCCTATGTCATCTGTTTCATCTCTGGGCTCAGAGGTGAGTGGGACCATTGACTTTCTTTGCATTACCATTTAACAAGACATTGGTGCTATATCATTCCTCTTCTGTTTCTGCTGAGACAGTTGGGGCTGAAATAGAAATGTTTCATGGAGTTGCCGATCATATGCCAAAGCATTGTTTGATAACCAACAACCATGTAGGTCTTATCCCAGAGTACTGAAATGGCCAGAATAGGTTACCATGTAATATAAAGTTGTTTGTGCTCTAATAAGTGAACCTTACAAGTGTTCTGTTTCAGCTTCTGCAGAGTAAGAAGAGAGAGAAACAGGCAAACCCTTCTGAAGAATATAGAACAGAATGGTATGTGTGGCAGGAATGTGTGTGTGTTGTGTGCACGCACGCTATAGTTATACTCTTAACACTTTTTTTTTTTTTTTCACTTCTAGATGTCTGAAGATCTTTTCATACACAGCGAGAAACTCAAGCAGACGTGTATTTTTATCCTAATGTATAAAACATTTTATGTATATTTATTTTTAATGTAAATGACTTATTTCAAAGCACAGTTGGATGGTGCCCCAACATTGCATTCCAGTTTATTTCCATAGTGCCTTTTTAATATGGCATTTAATTTGATCTTCTCCCACTGGGGGAGCAGAAAATACAATGACGGTGGCAATTAACAGTAATGCTGCCCACACAGAGCTGTTTCAGCTAACCTTAAGCCACTTTAAATTTGATTTCCATTATAGACAATCCAACCTGATTAAGGCAACCTATCCTTCACTGAAGGTTTGAACTGTTCTGATCCATCCTATAGGCTTTTCGGATCAAAAGCTGTTTAGAGATTGACATTTCAGTGTACATAACCAACAAAGATGGGTGTGTGTAGAATTTTTTTTACTGTATAGTCAGTGAAACTGAAGCCACATTTCTTTTTATCTTTTGGATAGAGTAAGGGAGGGTTATAACCCCTGTTTACTTTTTTTTGCTATCTGTAATCCCTTTGGGGGAGATTTCCCTTTGCTTACTGATTGCACAACAGAAAGTGAGAGGAACTCTCTCCAGTGAGGGAAACCCCTGGTGGTCAGCAGGGTCTCCAGAACTAGTGTCCCCATTGAAAGGCTTCCCATTTTTTTTTTTTTTTTCCTGGGACGACCCAAAATTTGAGATTTGCTTTCACTAAGTGATAATGGTCACTCAGACAAATGGAGAGGGTGCATCTCCCCAATGGGGACACAGGGCAATAAAGACCTGTCAAGTGTTCGAATACCTCTTCACGCTACCCAAAACGTAAAGAAAAAGTCGGATTGTTGAACTTTAAAACGAGTTTACTGTTTCAAAAATTAAAATACCATCTGACTGGAAAAAACAAGATTACTTGCTAATGGGATTGTGGCTGTTTATCGTTTAACTTATTTTAATGTATTAAATAAAGTTTTATCTAATGCGTCAGAACATGGCATCATTCGTGTTTATGCTGTTGATACCTGACAGCTGTGTTTTAGGGGAAAACTGTAGAGACTTGTCTTAGTAACTTCTTGTATACGCAAACTTTGTTGCTAAAGTCTTACTACCAGTGGCGGACTGAAAATGCTCTGCTCATATACAAGCCCTACCCACATATAATTTCTTGTGTTATAGAAATTATTTTGCAACACTTTTCCAAATAGCAGGTCTATTCACTAAAAAGTGAATTGCAGGGGGACTTGGTAGGAGAATTTGAAAATCGAGACCAATATACATTATTTGAATTATTCTGGCTTGGCTATTTTGACCAAGAGTCTAAAGTTCTACCAATTATCCTGAACTGCAGGATAATTTAACAGGGAAATTGAATAATCTAGGACTTGAGTGGGGATTTAGATGCATATTACGTAACACATGCAAACCCCTATTCCACCCCCCCTGTGGTGTGTGTGGCAAGGCCCCCATATGACCAGAACCACTGCACGGCAGACCCCACACCAGAACCACTGCACAGCAGACCCCACACCATAGACCAGAGATAGGCCCCACCTACATGAGTAATGGGCCTGGGGGACAGGGGACACATGCTGCTGGAAGTAACTGGAAGAGCAGCGGGAGGATCAGTGACTCCCCCCGCCCCCCCCCCCC